GCATCGGCCTCACTGATGGCCTCTGTCTTGGCCTGTTCCGGCAGCTCGCCCCAATTCCAATTGGTGGCGTTTGTATCGTCGCCGCATTGGCGCTGGTCCCGCGCCCGCATCGTTGTCTCCAGCTCGCTGTCGCTCTGGATGGGGCTGGAGGGACGGTTGGGACCGCCTCCAGATGGCGCTGTGATCTCTGTGTCGCTAAAGAAGTGAATATCCAGGTCTAGATGCTGCTTTGGGGCTGGTATTGGGGTGGAGTGGGACAGACATTCGTCTCCGGTGTGAGCCGTGAGCAATGGGGCAGAGGGCTGCTCGTCGTTGGAGGAGGAGTTGGCAGAGTTGTTGGCTGCAATGGAACTAGCTGGGGCATCGCCTTCATCAATGTTTGCCACTGTGGCCACACCCAATGCGGTGTTGGCGGTGGCGGTGGTGATGTCGCCACCGACAGCGCTACCCACTGAGCTGCTCGAGGAATTCTTGCGCTGTGCGTTCTTCTTCATTTGCGTCTTCTTGCGCCGCTTCTTGGTCTTGCTCTTGGACACATCCTTGGGATCCTTGGCCACCTCACTGGGCGCCACTGATGATACAGTTATATCGGGCTTTGGCTGCTCCTTCTCCTTCTCTTTCTCAACTTCCTTTACCGCCTCGGGTTCCGCTTCCGCTGGCTTCTTCTCGCTCTTCTCCTGGAAGAGCTCCTCGTGCTCCGCCCACTCCTGACGAATCTTCTGTGTGGTATACTCCTTGAGCTTCTCGCTCAGATTGCGCCTCTCCAGTGTGTTGTCCGTGTGCCTTATTCGGGATTAGAAGAGTCAAAATGTTTATTTTAGCCTGCACGCAAAATGCTTTGTCTGTAAAGCTTTGAAGTCTACCTGCGCATCGTGTAATCCGAGGCTTGATTCTCGAATTGTTTGCCATCTGCGGCCGCTTCCTTGGGCTCCTCCTTGGAGAAGTCGATGGAGTTGCGTCGCGGCAGTGGCAGGGGAATCTGCAACTCCTCGCTAGCGTTTCTAAAATGAGATGGCAAATGAATCTAGCGCTGGCTTGAAGCTGCTTTGGGCTGTCGGCACTTACTTGTCGGCTGTCACACCGCTGATATCCTCCATGGTGTCGTTGCCCTGTTCCCGCAGATTCATGAAGCTCAAGGGTATGGGCGATGTGGCCAGATTCGCTGGCAGCTCATCATCGTCATCGTCGAGGCACTCCTCCACAAAGAAAGCCTCGCCCGCATCCCCCAGCTTCATCTGAATGTCCACGGGTGCGCCATTGATCTCGATATCCACCTGGGGATGGTCGATGGAAGGTTATTTCAGGCTAAAATTACGTATTTTAGGATCTACTTACCACCTTCTCGCGACTGCGCAGCACTCCCAGCTTGCCGAAGCGCACATGGAAGGGCGAGCATTGGAACTCGCCGTCCTTCTGCTCCACCACGATCACATCGATGGCCCCCGTCAAGGTGGCTCCATTGATGTCGTTGTAGAAGTCTCGGAAATTGCTAAAGACGCGCGCCAGGCTGTTCATCTTTGTGTCTGCTTGGACTTGCCTTTTCTTTTCTTTTCTTTCCTTTCCGTTATGTTCTGTTTCGTTCCTTTTGGGACTCTTTCTGTGTCCTCTCTTGTGTTGGCCTTGTTCTAATCTTCTTGTCTAATCGCAATCGCACCTGTATATATGGCTATGACTGTGTGTTGCTGCTGTTTTCTGTGTGTGTATTCCCTGTTTAGTTTTATATGGTGGCCATTTTTATTGGAAGGCGGTCAAATACGCCGCTTATTGGCGGCGGCACCAGCTCTCCGGGTTTTGTTCTGTCCGGGACTTTGAACCCTCACGCTGAATTATGGCAACTGTAAAAGGTAATGCAAAATTTAAAATATGAGTAATCTGCGTCGCTTATTGCCGACATTTATTCCCCCCGGTTGACAACGCATTCAAAATAGACAAATTGCATCAGCGCGCAAGTGCATCCCGTCCTTTGGCCACTCTGAAGCCGTAACAGTGCCCACAAAAACAGAGGAGCATTTGCACCCAATTATTTTTAGCATTTCGTTCTTTCTTTGAGTGCTCAAAGTCAAGGTAATGTTTGAATGGATGAGCATAACCATCCCAACCCCAGGGGTTTCTACAACGTGACGTATGCTGTGTTTGAGAGAGAAGGGGAGGAACCTTATGGCCAACACTCACAGCCCTTGTTTAATCATGTATTACGGCAAGTTCAAGGTAGGGACCCCGACGACTGTCCGCTTTAGTTATGCCATCTGTGGCAAAACTATTTATGAGTATTTATGAGTGTTCATTCCCATCGAATTGGTGTTGTAAAAGCCGCTCTTATCAGCTGTGCTGCGGTCACCTACATAAATACATACATACATATGTATGTGTGTATGTATTCTCGTACGTATTTCAGTGGCGTGATAAAACATGGAGTAAATACTTGTAGCAGAATGTATTGCTGCGTGCGTATTAATCATAGCGCAACACGGAAAACATCACGCGACATCAACATCGAACTCGATGCTATATTCACAGAAAATAAGCAATAAGCACTAAAATAGCAAGACACTCAAACACGAAATGGATGGAGTTCAATGTCCATCGAGCGAACCGATAATTTTAACAATGGTTGTGGGTGTTCTGTGCCTGCCAGACAACAATCCGACCAATCAGAATGATAAGCGAAACAATGCAAGAATCAAAATGTACTTCGTACATAAACATACATTGTGGATGTATACTATACTAACTCGTAATCAATTGTAAGCTGTGCTCCCGAACCGAAAGACTGGAAGAGCAGACATCACCCCAGATCACGCCATCTGTCACGCGTTGCGGGCCCTGCCTCACTTTCACCTGCGAAACTGCAGAGCAAAGCGTGGAGCAATCAAAACAACATTCGATGGATATGGAAACGCAAGAAAAACGCACCCGAAGCAAAGAGAGAATCGGGGTTATAACAAAACTTGAAACAAACCTCGAAGAGTTGCAGTCGCAGACAAATGCATATGCAAGGGAATTTGTTATCCACTCAGAGACCACAGCAGACAAAGGAGTCGCATTTCGACACAGCTCTGACTCTGACTCTGACTCAATTTCAGAAGATAAAGAACTTTTAAATGCAAGTTTGCAACTCGCAGTGCGGGATTTTGCATCTGGCCTTTTATTTCTGTTCAAATCTGCTGAGATGTCGTTGCCAACGATAATCACATGCCCCGAGTTCAGTGTTTATTTGAGTTGTATTATTTGTGGGGGTCTGGTCTGGGGTTGAGTCACGATCAAAGTCCAGAAACCAGAGAACACTCGGAAGAATCAGAATGCACGACGAAAGAGACGCGCGCGCGGGCAAACAAAAACAAACGCGGGGACCAAAGTCTACATAAAATAGAGGTGCCTGCCAAGAATTCTGTGGCGGACCCGAATGCAGACGTGTGTACGTTCAATGTTCTCGAAATTATCTCTAGTATAATGGAAATTTTATTTCACTTATTTGCTATGTCATTTGCATTTTCACTACCTTGTTTTCGGTGTGTTTGAAAATATTTTATTATGGTTGCAGTTCAGTTTTCAGCAGAATTGTTTGCTGTGCTGCTGTGCCCTTGAAAACACTAGCGAGGAACTATCAAAGCCTCACTCTATTTCCTCCAGCACTTTGGCTCGTTTTCGTTCACTTGACAGACAATTCTCGTTTGTTTCTTGTATTTTCACAATGTTTTTAGTGGCACTCTCCACTGCGTGGCTACTGTTCCGTTCAGTTGGTTTTAGTTGTGGATTTTTAGTTTGTTGCTCCGACGACTGCTGCGGCAGAACTGAGCGACGGAAAAGTTCAGTTAATCGAATTAAGCACCTGCTTGTCCATGTGTGAGTGCGTCGCTCGAGAGAGCGACAAGCCAGAGAGAGCGTTGCTTGTTATTTAAGAGCAAAAGCTGGGCAAAAACAAAACAGGTAAAACCGGATAGTCATGTAACTTGTAGTTGTTGCTATGGCTATGTGCAGATATACATAAATAAATATATTATATACAGCAGCTGCTTTATTCAATCTATTCTCTCTCTCTCTCTCTCTGACTGGCATGTTGCTCTTCCTCTCTCTCTCTTTCTGTTGTTTGCGACTTAATAACTGTGCTTGTCAGCTGCTGGCTGCGATCGTCGCAGCTGTTCCTGCTCTCGCTGAGCTGTTGCTGCCATTGTTGCAATCGAGAGAGCTTTTAGTGCATGTTCTTAGCGTAATTCACTCGTAAACAAATTAAATCTGTCCATGTACGTCACTTCCAGTTGTTTACCAGCACACCAGCAAACTATAGCTTTGATCTCAGAGTGATTATACAGGAAATGTTCCACTTTTACGTATTATACAATCTTTGAGCAATAGAATTCGACTGCTAATGAGTGTGGCCCGAATCGGAACATGGTCAAAGCAAATATACAAGAAAATAAGAACAATTCGTCACCGTTTCGGACTGTGGAATATTTTCCCAGAGTGTCTGTCTGTCCCTACAAATTGCTGATGAGTGCCAACAAATCGCGGAGGCTAATTAATGCTTGTGTTTATGAATAAAAAATATAATTTGATAAATAGTTGACAAATAAACAAACCCAAAAACAACAGCAATATAAAAACGGATAGAACTGATAATAAAAAAATAAAGAAAAAAGGAAGAAGGTGATTTTTCATAATTTAAATAATTTAAATTTATTCATAAAACGATTAAATGATAAAACTACCGAAAACATAGCAATTAAACATATGCATGAAAAATATGTACATGTAAAAAGTTGTACAAAAAATATACTCTAGATTCCTCTATCCGTTTTCCGCTCTTCTACGTAATAAATACTTTAGCGTGATAAAAATACAAAATAATTGGCAAAGGCAGATGACGACACATGCAGGCTATATGGATACAATATGGTAGAGTAAATATAGTAAATAATCATGTATCTATGCAACTAACATTAATCAAAACACAAATTAATGATATTAGCAATAGTTAAGAATAAAAATAACAGAAAAGGCTCTTCTGCTTGGGCTTGGGCTTAGCTCTCAGTTTCTCTAATGGTTTCTGAATTTTTTATTGGTTCCTAAAGAAGACAATAGTCAATATAAAACGCGCGAGCACTCAGTTCTCACATACATCCTTCACTTGGGAGTGGTCGTGGACTTGCGGCGGGCATCCGTTATAGCACCCCAGAGCTCGATGATGAAGTCGTCGGTGAAGCCAAAGGACTCGAGGTCCGAGCTGTCAATGGACTCGGCAAAGTCCATTGAGTTCGACTTTTTGTCACCCAAATCCCAGATCTGCGACGCCAGCTCCGTGTCGTTGATGCCCATGAAGGACTCGAGCAGATTATTGATGGCATCGATCCCGGCCACCGTGGCCTCGTCGAACTGCGGCTCGATCTGTGCATTTCCATTGGCCTTGAAACGTAACGTCTCCTTGCCACTGCCATAGTTGCGTCCGCCGCCGGCGCTGCCTGTGGCGCGCGACTGACTGCGCGGCCCAATGCCCTGGAAACCGCTTCGCACGGGCTCCACCAGGCGCAGCGTGAAGGTATCACCTGTGGGAATGTCCTTGAGCATGCGGGCCACCTCGTAGTGCCGCTTGCCAACCATATTCTGGCCATCCAGCTTCTCGATGTGATCGCCCACACAGATGTGCTCGATGCGGTCGATGATCGAGTCCTCTTTGATGCGCTTGATGAAGGCATAGCCGGCCCCATTGTCGGTGATGGTCAGCCCGAGGGCCTCCTGTGACTTGACTATCTCGATCTCCTTGGGCCGACCCTTGCGGTGGGCGAATATGAAATCATCCAGACCTATCTGCCCGCCCAACAGACGGGCCATGTCCACCTTGTGCGAGTTGAGCGTACAGAACAGGATGTCCTTTTCCGAGATGTCGAAGCATTCGGCGATCTTCTGGTACAGCTCTCGCACGCTCGAAAAGTCGTGGATGAGTCCAGTGGGGCTGCCGTGCGCCAGCTGGCAGTGGAACACCAGTGGGGGCTTCGCGTAGTCGGCGCTGTGGTTATTGTTATTGTTGTTCTGGATGGTGACGGGTACGCCCGAGGCTCCTTTGCCCTTCCCCCCATCACTGTTGTTGCTGTTCTGTGAGGTGTTATCTGCTGCAGTTCCCGGCTTGGAGGTTTTCCTCGTGAAGAGTGGCATGACTGGTGGTGTCTGGTCTCTGGTTGCTCAGAAATCTATGCGGTTTTATAATATATTTTATGATCTTTTGGCATGTATCCTCGTATCCTGTTATTTTGCTCTTGGATCTGTGTGCGTAGAAGAAGGGTGGGATCACTTGGGATTAGGCGATTCAATGCTCAATTCAATGTGGTAGTAGAATATGTTCAATTCTGATGTGAGTGGTAATTATAGTATTATTTGTGTGTCGCAGTTACAGGTTAGTCAAGGTGATTAGCTGATGTTTATACAAAGGTGAGCTCTGTACAGTAAAGAACCCATAACCATAATCAATACAATGTGCATAGGTTTTTATCTAATCGGTTCACTCAAAAGTTGTAAATTTCAAACAGGAAACGTGCTTTATAAGTGGTAGTACAAGTGATGAATCAGAGTTCGATCCATAGGGTCGAAAATTTGTTTGATTATTGATATATTAAGTTGGTAGTTAGTGGCTATCAGTGGCCAGCTTATCGCGAATTTAAAATATTAAATTAGTCACACGAAAAGTGATTGCACTTTGAGGTTATGTTATACACGAGAGGCAATCCAGCAACAGCTGCTGAGCGCGAGTTCTCTCTCTCTCTCTCTCTCTCGAATAAGGCACAAGCTTTAACGGTAATTAATCACTGGAATTAAGAGACAGTTTTGGTATATTACCCAGCCTGGAACACGAAACAGCGGCAGCAGCAAGAAAATCAAATTCAACGGCGTAAAATCACATTGGAATTGAACGAATTTCTATTACTATCAAACTAAGTATTTGAGTACTTTTTGTTTGGTTCTTTCCAGCGATAAGATTGACAAAATGTATGATAAGACAACGGCAAAAGATAAGCGGACCGGACTCTTTATCGGGCTGCAAAACGTCCGCCCGTAGTAGTCCGTCAAAGTGTACTGAACCTGCAGTTAAATGCCAGGCCATCAGCTGGAAGCGACGACCATCATCACTCAATCGGTGGCATGGCATTCAGCTGTACTCCACTCTCTGTCTCTATCTTTCCCCCCTTACCACTTCCGCTCAATGGGAGAAATGTCTGTCTGTCGCAGAGGAGTTCATGAACCTTCCGCCCTCTGGATGCCTCTTCCCTTGCACGTTGTTTGTTGATATAATCCAGTTACAGCACCAGGAGAAAAACTGTTACAACTTTTATACACTGATAATTTTGATAAGCAAATGAAATTCTCAAAATAAATTTAGACTCTGAGTGAAGTATAAATGATAGCGAAAGGCATTCTTTGATTTGCTGCTACATATATTGGTACTGTAGTACACAGAAGCATTGATCCAACATAGCAGTTCTGTCTGTCGCCTGCTTGATCTGCCCCATCTAAGACGAGCCCCTTAATTGATATTTACATACAAACGTGCTCACATACGAGTATGTTTTTATGACTGGGCGCCGAGTGGTTTCCACTATGTAATATATGTATTTTATTCGTGAGCAAAACAACTATTTCTAGCTGCTAGCCGAGTGGATGGATAGATAACCCACCGCCGCATCAAGGTCGAAATAGTTGAGAGCGCGTGAGTCGCTCGCACCTTAACCGATCTGATTCTGAATGGTTCGCAGCAAAGAACACATACAGAAGATACTCGTAGTTTCAGATACATATTGATGTTATACGCGGTACCACAAAGCATAGAAGCTTGTGCGGAAGTGAGCAGAGAGGCCGGCAGTCAGGCCCCCTTCGAAGAGCAAAAACCGGTACGGTGTGGTGCGATCAATGCTCTCTCTTCTCAAGATTATGGGACAAAAACTTTATGCGAATTTCAACAAATTGTTAAACAAAAAGAGATCGATAAAGAGCTACAAAAAATATACATATGCCCGGAGGTATCATAAATTATGAGACGCAGTGTCATTAGTGTTAAGGTAAGGGAAATTCCATGTTGCGAGCATCGATTGATTGATCGCTCTCTCTCTCTCTTCAAATGCTGTTTGGCCGATCAATGGCCCCCGCCGTTAGATAGTTTTCTCTCTGGCGATTTCATAATTGTGGGTTAATTGTTTTGCTTTGAATAAAGCGTAAACAACTTAAAACGCTTCCGCGTCGCCGGCTGTTTGTCCCGTCTCCCCCCCTCGATGCTGTATCTGTTGTTCTATTCCAACTTGTTTACCCGCCTCTGATTGGTCGCCGGCGTGGGCTCGACGCTCCCCCCGTCTGTGGTGGATACATAGAAGATCTGTAAATCGCTGTAAACAACACAAATAATGCATTTTTTTAGGTTACAGAAGGAACGTGCGGGTGAAAACAACATCAGATACAGAAAAACAGAACTGGTGGCAGAACAAAGTGTAAACATCAGAGGTATGCCGATACTACGTGTGGCAAAGGCGCTCGTGGGGCACCCCAATATAAAGTGAATGATGGTTGCAATTCTGTTTTGTGTTTTTCATTCAAAGCTTTAGTAATTTATGGATTAGTTACAATTCTCTGTGTAGGTTAGTTCTCTGTTTTCTTTCTTAATGAAGTTTCACGAAAACAATGCCATAAAAACATTTCTATTTACACCATCGAGAAGGCAACGCGTGTGGGGGAATTGGACGGCGATAGTGGGGCCCGTCAATGTGTTTACATGTAAGTCGATAAAGCGGATCCAAGGGATAGCGAACTATGTATGCACATATCAAGGGTATTTTTAATTTCATTGCAGCTGGTAATTGTCTTGTTCTTTTTGCTGCTGATTTCGTTTGGCGTTGGCTATGATATCATCTGAAACTCAGAGGCAGGAATCGATATGTTATCAATTAGCTATTCAAATAAACATATAAATACAAATAAACTTATACGCTTGAGTGTGCCTTATTTCTTAGCTTAATTTTGCTAGCTAAAACATATAAGCATATTTGAAATAATTGCAAGAATGTATAATAATCTAATCATAGTGCTGGCGGAAGCAACAAACATCAAACAGAAAATATGCTGGAAATAATGATAATCTCACAAGTTTATGATAACCATGTCATTGCAGAACATATGAAAATATTTACTAGTTTTATTTAGTCAATTGCACTTTGTACATCGATCCACTTCCGGGACCCATAAAGAAAAATGCGGCTCTATCCTTAGCTACATACATATATACAAATTACTTATATTTAGTATCATATATTTTGCAATATATTATATTCATTCATCCCCCAAAAGATGTGATGTCGATATTTGCGGAGCCTTGGAAACCCAAAGGTTGGGTATTTCTTTTAAATGTTTATCGTATCAACAAACTTTGAGTATGTATTCAATGCCAAATGGCTATTAAGAGAGTACAAACGAAAGAGAAACAAGCTATAAAATTTAAGAGAGTGCTCTCCACAACAAAGAGTGCATAAAAGCACTGTAAAAAGCTCCGAAAAGAGAGAAACAACATGGAGAAAAAGCGGGCGGGTGGGTTGAACGTGTCGCTGGGGATCGAGCATTTCGTTGACTAGGTCAATTTTTGCGACTCCACAAAATTCGCCGGCAACGGTGCTGCAGGGGAAAAAAGACAGCGGATCCAACGGACTTGTGATCTTTGGCAACGGTGAAATTTAATTCCAAAAGTCAACATTTTGTGGGCAAAGCAGAAAATTGAGCTGATGCAAAATGAGGGGTAATATTGGGGGTTCGGGGACAAAGCAAATGTTGGAGATAGATAGATGTGCATATGTGTATGTATGTGCTAGTTTTAGTGGAGGATAATATGTGTGCATAAGTATATGTAAAGTGAAAGCGCTTTTGGTTGGTCACTCATTGGAGTTGGAAGCAAAAAAATTGGGATAGACATCGGGAGATGTCGGGCTAAAAGAGCCTTTACTGTACCCGGATAAGCAAATCTCAAATTCCACAGATGACTCAGATTTTACGAGACTGATAACGGAGACTGAGTATTAGTGCTTCTGTACGATAATCCCATCTTAATATTTTTCAAACACTATTGTTTGAAGTAAGTGAACAAAAAAGCCCATAATTTATGCACCTTTTTTTTGGTTTGGCATTTACAGACACAATTTTGTTTAGTTTTTGTTTGTAAGTACATACTCGAGTATATTTTTCACTGCATTATTCATAATTTGCTGCCTCTTTACCTTCGCTATGGCCGCTTCTTGAGGTTTGACCTTTTCCCTACCCGACACAAAAAACAAAACTAAACCGAATGTCGATAGTGTAAATGCCGTGATCCAGTGCACTGAACTCGGCTCAGGTTCATTTTCATTGCAGCCCTACAGCCGTACAGCGCAGTGTCTGTGCCTGGGCTGACGTATCGAATCACCCTTTATGTGGAGCACCAGCACTGGGGCCTAGAGAGCATAACAAACGTCAGATGAAGGGCGGGGGGCGGAACACCGAAATAACAATGAACACATGCAGAGACCACACAGCACACACACACGAAGAAAATACTGGAGCAGTTTTGAAAACATTTAACCGTTTCACCTCGCTGAACCCTGGGCACGAATGAGCAAATTAAGCAAACGAATTATAGCCCCGAAAAAAAAAGATCCGTAGCCAACCAAGTCTGTTTTGGGCCAAAATTAACAAACACGCAGCACCTTTCAACCTTAATCTCTTGGCAAAATTCCTTTAAAAGAGATAAGAAAAGGCGTGGCAATTAAATTCAGAGAGGAAATTAACAAATTAAAAGGTTTTATAACTGAATTCAACGGATATTCATTCAAGTTTGTTCTAAGTACGAGCAGCACATGATCGCCTACTTATAGGAAAAACGTAATTGCAGTGATATTGCACATATGAATGCGCAGAAGCAACGTAGAGAGCGGGCCATAAAAAGCACAGTTAAACTGATTACGAACATGACATGACAATGCCAGAGCCTTTACACTGAACCGTCGGCATGGCAACCCCCGGCTGTGGCTCGAACAATGAAGCCGATTCTTGGCGCTGCGCTGCCGCTTTTCATAAAAAAAAATGCGGCGCGTATTGAAATGTCACGCAAGCAATTTACATAAATGGAATAGCTTCCGCTTGAAGAGAGGAGAGAATCAGCAACAACAATAGGACAGACGCCGATGCATCAGAGAAGGAGAGTATCAGAGAGCCTATGCCTATTTGTATGTGCACGTACGAAAACAACTGTTACGAGGAATGGAACCGCAAAAGGTAGCACATGCGGAAGACAGAGAGAGATAGAGGTACAGAAGCAACAAGACAGAGAGTACTTTGGAAGAGAGAATTGTGATACCTTTTACCATTATGGGTAATCGATCAATGCTCACAAACTTAACAGTTACTCTCTCTCTCGTTCCTCTGGCAAAATGGTTAAGCCACAAAACTTTGCTTTGCATTTGCATTTCTTTTCGTTTGGAGCCCACTGGCCAACTTCACGGTTTCTTAACAAGTTAATCTGCCTACAAATTGCCCAAGTCTTGAGTTTCTTTGGTCATGCTTGGATCTTTCGTCGCCCCGACTCCCCCACAAAGAACCTGAGAATTGGTCTGGGATGGAAAACTCAATGCGTAGCGGCACGTGCTCTTGGCTAAGACAGCACCGATGGATGCAGCAGTAGACACAAAAACGATGAAAAGTTGTAATAATTTCTATTTTGATGTGCGTGCTGGCTCCGAAAATGAAATGCCCAGCAGCAATTGTGTGAAATTTTTTCTTTTTATAATCGTTATGCTTTTATGGCCATCCCACCACGGTCTCGCTGCGCAAGTAGTATTTTGTAATTTTACTTTTCCTTCCTTTCGATGTCGGAAAATCAATCTGGCCGTGAAATTGGGTAGCTGAAAAACGTGCTTTTGTACCCCGGCCAACCGAAATTTTGTTGTGCGGCGACGCAGTAGTCGAAGACAGCCGGCACCTCGAAAACACCAAGAAATACCCAACCTCAATCTGGAGTTGTATATCGTCCAACATAAACAAGAATCTGCATGTACTCGTATTTGAGGCAGGGAATGCCCAAAACATTGTTTTGACTACATGCTTTGCCGGTTACATAGGAATAAATTATGTTTGCCTGTCTGGGGGGTTTTTTTCGGGGGTTGGTCTGATGGATGAAATCATTTCCGCTGTTCACGAGGTCGGTCCACGAGGTTCTCCTAGTGGAGAGTTTGACATGACATAAGTGGGGTGTGGTTGTGCTGCCCATTGGCTGTGGAAAACACTTGTCCGTCAGCGACTAAAGTTAATAATTAACTGGCAAACGTGACACGCCCTGAACAGCAGCTGCTAAAAATCGATAAGCTAGCGAAACTGCATCGATTTATGGAATGCCCTTTCCCAGGTGCTTAAGAAACATAGTAAATTGCAGAATGGAATCACATGTTACATGTGATGGGAGGGGGAAATCACATGACTAATATTTACACAAAAGATGGGAAAATGTATGCCCAGCCACCACCAAGCCACCTTTCACTTTATTTGTTGGCTGCTAAAAAATATATATGTGTTAGGCAAATGAATGAATGCCAAAGATGCTGCTGCTGCCACAATGGAAAATGGTAAAGAAACCAATTTGTATGTATAAGCAGACTCCACCACGCACCAGCACCAGCACCAGCACCAGCACAAGCATCAGGCAGAAATGGAGACAAGAGACAGAGACACAGCCAAGACCAGATCAGACGTCAATATCGAAAGTTGGTTGCAATACGCACCTGCTGCGGCTGCCGCTACTGCTTATGCTACTCCTCTCAGACTGCACTTCACTGCGTATATCAATTCGCCAATAATTGCTTTGTCTGGTGCCGTAGTTGTAGGTTTTCCGACTTCCACTTGACTTTGACTCTCCTGGGCGCGAGAAAGCACCGCTAATGAGCGAGGAAAGCGGACGTACCGTATCAGACTCTCAGAGCCCAGACCAGGTTGTTGTTGCTGCTGCTGCTGCTACTCGAGCGCGCACACACACACACACACAGACAAAACAATTTGTTCTTTTTTTTAACACGTTATTGAATCTCTTTCACCAAACCAACTGGTTTTTTAGTGCTCGCTAAATACACACACATTAACCAACCACTTTCCAGGGTTCTTCTTTTTTTATGATTTCGCAACTCAAACTACGACTGGAGCTCTATGGAAACATTCCAGATTTTGGCGATTCGTCACTACACAAGGTTTTGCTAATCACGCGTTATTTATTTAACCTTTAAGATATTTTATTGCACTTCTGCAACGACAAAACGAACCAGCCCGGAAAAGTGAAATAAAGAAATTTAAGCGCGGTACCAGCTGATTAGCTGTCGGTGTGACCGTGGAAATATCTGTGGAATATGCCCGACTGGTCCTCTAAAACACACCAAAGTATGCCTTCTTATTTTCAAAATATACCGTAAATATAACAAATCCTAAACAGTTTTCCTCGATTTTGGTATTCTGTTAAATATTACCAGCAAGGTAAGACTCTAAGCCCTGAAACTATAATTTTATCCGGTTTTTTATTTAATTCTCTACAATTAAGCTTATTATAATTACTAGTTTTTTATTTGATTTTGGTTTAAACAAAGAAGGTGCGCCAAAATGCCATTTCATTTTACATAGTAACTACACAGCAACTACTTGGTTTTTACATATCAACAAAATATATATACCATTCATATATGGGCGTTTGGATACCCTATTATCTTTAATGTACTCCAAAATGTAATTATGAGAGTCATGAGTACCCCATACATCCTTTTAAAAATATACATATTATTTATTAGTAATATTATCAATTTCAACTGCTGGGCTTACGCTGATTTGAAGTGCTATAAGAGACTAAACATATCAATAAACAAGGGAAACACTAGATATAACGGAAAAGAAACATAAAAGAAGTTGGATTCAAAGTGTCCACAGAATATAAATGTTAAGAAATTGGTTCTGGATTCATCGTGGGAGCAAGCGTAAAATGGAGAGAGCGACTTCCTTCCTTCAGGTGACCACAGCTGCGTCATTGCCATGACGAATGAGTGTGTGCTCGTCGGCCAGATCCTCGTCCTCATTGTTCTCCAGCTGCTTTTGCCGCAGACGCAGCTCGAATACCTCGCTGATGGCATCGCGAAAGCAGATAAAGTTGTAATCAATGACGCCCTGCCGGTTGAAGTTCTCCTCACGCAGAATGCAGACCAGGGCCAGGAACTTGTTCACCTCCCGCAGATAGAGTATCGTGTTGTTGTTCAGCTTGATCAGACTAGAGCTGCCGCTGTCGAAGGCGGTCTCCTCTGAGCTGCAATGACCATAAGACTGTATCATCCACAAACCGAGATATATGGTGCGAGGACTTACCTATATATGCTGGACAGATCGATCACCACATCAATCATATCGCAGCACAGTTCATAGGTTTGCATATCCACCGGGGAAGAGTCCGTTGCAATATAAATTTTGGAAACAACATCAAAGAGAAAGGCTTTCTCTATGCCAGAGTTCTGAAAATGGTTGATGAATCAGCACTAGATTGGCAGCTCCATAAAGTACGAAAATGACAAACCGGTATAAAGATGTTGAGAAGGTTCTCCAGCGTCGGCAGCTGGGGAATCAGTTTCTGCACCACCTTGGAGAACGCCTCGAAGATCGAGTGATCGTATATGGAGGTTAGATGAAAGCTCAGATGGATCTGATTGAGACCCGCCTCGCTTAGGTCGTCCGATGACCGCTGATGTATATCACGTTGCGATTCCATTTTTGAATCATCGCTTATTCCGTCAACCTGTGGAGTGGGTATGGGAATTAAGCAGCTGCCTTGATAAGCGTCCGTATCTGAACTCACTTTGTGTATGAAAACCTCAAACTTGATTCGCTGGTTCACTTTGTAGGCCTTTATCACTGTGTTTTTGAACTTGGTCAGGGCCTCGTTGTAGTCGTCCTTGGCATCAATGACAAACACCAGGGCGCCGCAGCCACCAAAGATCATGTCCGAGTCGAAGGTGGGCTCTATGAAATCGATTTGGCCAGGAAAGTCCCATATTTGAAACTGCACAAAGCTGGAATTGTTGATGTCGTCCTTGACGATTTTGCTCGTCGATTCAAGGAAGAGCGTCTCATTGGGAGACATTTTGTGGAAGACCACCTTCTGAATTGAACTCTTGCCCGATCTGCGCAGTCCCATGAGTAAAATGCGCGGTTTCGTCTCGCTGCTGCCCGTCGAATTGGGCTCCATTTCCAGGCCATCCTGGTTGTAGGTGCCATATCCGAAATCTTTCGGGAATGTGTCTGCTGGGTAGTCGTCGTCGTCGTAACTCTGTTGATATGCAAATCAGTTATGCTCTGCTCGATTGGATTGGAGTGGGGCAAAAGAAAAGCGTGTGATGGGCGGAGGCTGCTGCTGCTGCTGCGCCAACACTGATATGGCTTCTTTGTTTACTTACCATTGTGGCTGCTAAGCTCGTATCTCGCTGAGATCTGCAGTTACTTGGACGCCAACTGTATTGGAGACTGTCGCTTGTATGCAATGGGTCTAGTTATTCCCACTAGTTAGTTTATTTTACTTAGTTTTTCGTACAAGTTTCTTATCGGAATAATTAAAGTGGGTGCACACTTACAAATTATCAGCTGTTTGGAAAAATAATTGTATCGATGTATCGATATCAATCAGCTGGTGTTTTTGTCTCGCAACAGTTAACCTTCTGTTGACCAATGGGTGTTTAAATGCAAACTTAGAAATTAATGAAAGTGAAGGATTTATAACACAGTTTAGCTGAATGAAACGGTACCCATTCGAATTGATTCGTAATCAGGGGGGATGGGTGGCTACAATAAAAATTTACAAGCAGTTTTATTTCGCCAATTTGGACAAAGTGCTTACCTATTTAAAAGGCAGGCGTTCAGTGTGTTAAGTTTGAACAGTCACATGGAATGAGCCTCGAAAATAGCAGTGAAGTCAATGTTGTTTATAGATTATAAATTTGTTAATTAAAGTTGTTCAAAGAGATGTCGAGGCGCGGGCTATTGTTGATGGGCCAATGCATGCCGTGCATCAAGCAAAATGCCTCCAAGATACGTATACGGCGTATGGAACTGGACAAGAATCTGAACATGGTTTGTGGCCGCTCTCGTCTGCTCATTCACCTGCTTGATTTCTGTTCTCCTTTCTTCTTTTAGTACTTTAAAAAGGATGATTTTTTCTTTGCCCACGATCCGCAAAAGGTGTGCAAAACCGGAGATGTGGTTCTGATACGAGAGCTTCCCGAACGCATGACCCGCCTCATCACGCATGCGGTTGAAAAAGTGGTCTATCCACTTGGTGACATAACCGATCCGATCACTGGCAAAAAAGTGGTGGTCGGCAAGTACCGAGACGACATCGAGATGGCCAACGAGCTGTTTGGCAAGTCGGAGAAGTCCTTCGACTATTCCAAGGCCCCACCACGTGGCCGGCTAGAGGGCACCAAAGACTTTACACACGGCGAGACGTACATCAAGTACCATGACGATGGCAAAGATCAGCCATTTGCCGTATAATAAGTTGGTAAATAATCCAAGTAATCGTTAAGCTTGCAAACAACCTGCCTTCCCAATCCAATTCAAAAAGGCGGCAATAAAAGATTTCTCTAAATATTTTATTTAAATTGTCGATAATCGATTTTTGCATGTCTTATTTGATTGATTTCTTTACGTATTCAAATGTATTCCTCCATCCATCTGATCAACAGTTTTATTTATGTTTATTTCGAATTTTCCTAATTCGAAAGAAGTGCTCCATTTTGGTGCCTCGACATGCCGTGCCACATGCCGCACGAAGATTCAGATTCAGATTCGATCCGTTCCATAAATTAAATTGTAAACTAATCACAATCTCTTACGATTCTAAAGTTGTACTGGAGTATAGGGTTCGCCAGGTGAGCGCTATCATCGCATAGTTTTTGCTGCAAGCGAAAAAAGGATTAAATATCCAAATAATATTTTGAATATATATTCAGCGCTCACCTGCTCCAGATCGTGGCTAGCGCGCAGCATAAAGTCGCGCAAGAAGTAGCCGTGCTCGGGCATGTCGAGGGCCAGGATCAGCTTGTTGTTGCCCAGCTGCTTGAGCACTTTCACTCCACTGCTGGCCGGAACCTCATCGTCCTCGTTGACCTGCGCATTCTCATTCGCATTGGCCTTGGCCTGATCCTCATCAATGCAGATGGACCACTGCAGCGGCTTGTTCGAGCTGTCCAGGAAAAGAGGAAAACGTTGCATTTGGGCACTGACTTGAACTCTGTTGCGACTCACTTGAAATGCAGCTCCAGATTACTGGCCTGGAGGTAGCGCGACACTGGGACTATGTAGCTAACGTTGAGGGAGCTGCCCCCGCTGGGACAGAACTTTTCCACGTCGACGGTGAGGTTGTATTGGGCGGCCAGGACGCAGCTGGAGACGCTCCAACAATCCAACTGAATGGGTGGCGGAGGGTTAACATCGGGCTTCGGCAGCTGTTCCACCTCGCTCTGGTCCTGGCTCGATGATACTGCAGGTGTCTCTGTGTCCTGTGAGGAGTGTTTGGCCTGGGCATCCCTTGGACTGGTCTCGTTGCTGCTGGCCAACGGCACTGGTTGTGTGGCTAGCACATCGGGATCCTGCTCCTGCTCGGCGGACTGCAGATCATCTTCCACATGTTGCTCCTTTACATTGGCATCTACGTTATCAGGCTGTGCCTTCGGCGGCGGTAGTTCCTCGAAGCAAACAGACTGTGGAGGGGCCAACGAAAGTGTAACCGTGTAAGGGAGGCTTCCATGACTTACCTGACAATTATCGCTGACGGACTCATCGCCAGTGCATTCCGTTGGCTGGCCAAAGAGTCCCGTCTTGAGGGTTTTGTGCTCGATCCAGTCCAGACTGCGCTGATTGGCCGACCGCCTGCCCACGCTCGAGTCCCTGAGGCCCTGAGTTTCCGGGAACACGAAACCAAAGACAGCCGAGATGGGATTGTCCACGGACTCATTGGTGTTGCTCAGATTCTGCAGATCGAGGGCATCCGGATTCTCATGCCCACCGCTGCTGTTGCGGACAGGAAGCGACGCTGGGGGCGGGTCATCCAGCGCCTGGGAGCGTGTGCGCTGAGAGGGTTCGGTGCTGACCTTGTTGGTGGTCAGTGCCAGGTTCGCCGTTGGCGGAGACACCGTCTTGTACACGTTGTAGATGACCGCATCCCCAGTGTTTAGCTTGCGTATGGCCTGGCCGACGGACGCGCCGACATCCCCGACCCCATGGGAGGCTCCCTCTGCACCCTCCGAAGTGGGACTGGCGATGGTGCCCACCACCACAATGTGTTCGTCCAGCTTCAGAGCCGACAACGGCTGCTTACCCCCCACCAGCTGCTGCTGCTGCGCATCGATGTCTATGGAGTTGTTCTCAAAGTCTTGGGGCAGGGAAATTGACTGCGACTGCGACTGGCTCTGGCTCTGGCTCTGGGACTGTGTCTGTGTGGGCTTTTCGGATGTGGAGGCACTCGTTTCATTGGCGTTGGCTGGTGGCAGCGCCCCTGCTCGTGCACCGTGCACAGCCTGGAGAACCTTCTGACTGGCCGCCTGCCGCAGAACCTCTTGGGACAGCGGCCACTTCGTCTTCTTGCTGCTGATGGTCTTGTTGCTGAATCTCGGCGCTGAAGTCGTGATGCGACTGTGTTTCCCCGACTGCTGCTGCTGGAGGTTTACCTGCGGCTTGGTCATCACGGCGGCCAGCTCCTCGGCCTCATCCTCGCCTGGACGTGGGCCCGTGGCGGCGGCGGCAGGCGGTCGGGATGTGCTCGTGGCGTACATCAGACTGGGCCAGGCCACGTGCGTCTTGTTCTTGAAGAGTGTGTGCAGGCTGTGCTGGAAGTAGTGGCGATCCTCCTCGCTCAGGTGCGAGGGCGTGTCCGTGCGGAAGATGTGACTGTTGCCAAAGAGCTGATAGCCGTCCAGCTGCTGCTGCTTGTTGTGCTCCACAAAGTACAGTGTGGACACAGCCGCCAGGCTTGAATCGGAATAGGAAATATCGGAATTAGTTAAGCTGTAAGCTGTGGAGGCTTCTCCCACTCACCAGGCTGCCATCACGATGATCAGCACAAAGATGACAATCTGTAGGGAGCGGCTGGAGCAGATCTCGTAGCCATCCCGCCTGCTGATGTACGATCTGAGGGCTCCTCTGTCTGGGAGCAGGCAGCGCGGCTCCAGCAGATCCTTGGCACGCAATTGGTGGCTGTTGTGGCTGTTGTTGGCGCGCTCCAGATGCTCGATGCGCGTCTCCAGGGACCCAGTGACCTTGCACAGCTCCTTGACGGCTCCAATGTTCTCCATGAGAATGCGATCCTGCCAAGGAAATCAATCAACAAAATGGTTTCGAGAGTTTATAGAGGTGCCCTCACCTTGTTGACCAGCAGGAAATTCTCGATGACATCGCCATTGGGCAGGACAACGCTGCCAGCCTCTTGGACCGCATCTGGTATCACCTCGCGCACCTCCTGCGCAATGACGCCCGTGTCGACGATCTCCCGCGTGTCGCTCTGCCGCCTCAGGCCGGAGTGCAGGGCGTACTCGGGCTCGTAGCGATAGCGGACAATGCGGATCTTCTGGAGGTTGCGCAGCTGCACCGAGGTGTCCAGCTCGCCGATCTCCTGCTTGGCGCGGCTGTCGCTGGGCTGGACAATGTGGCCGGAGACCTTCAGGTTGCCATGCACCACGAGACTCTCGTCCGGACGGTCCGTGTTGATGCCCACGCGACCCGCATGGAAAATGGACTCCTGGGTGAGTCCGCGCTGCCAGCACAGATCCACGTCGGACTCGAACTGGCCGGGATTGGAGGCGCGCACGATGATGCGCTCACTGCCATGGCTCATCACCGGGAAGTTGCCCGAAATGGTGTGCACATGGAGGCCCACCACCAGCTGAAAGAAGCGCTGCTCCGGATTGGGGCGCCCTTTCTTGCGCATATTGTTGTTCGTCGTCTCGGAGAAGTGCAGGCGGCCAACGGTGATCTTGCTGACAATATGCTTCTGAAGATCGATCCTGCAAAAGCAGAAGGGGAACAACAATAGAATAGATCCCATATAGCTGTGCTCATCGCCTGGTACTCACGGAACTGGATAGAATGGCTTCTTGGAGCGATCCGATTGGCTCTGCTCCACGCGGATGGTCTGGTTGGGCGCCTCGAACTTGACGCCGTAGAAATGCAAGTGAAAGGATTTGATTTTCTCAAAGCCGGACGGGGTCTTCACAAATTTGGCATCGCCCTGGAGTCGGGCATGGCAAGTAACCTGAAAGTGGTTCTTCTTCTGGCACACGTACGCGTCGTCCGAGACGCTGAAATTGAATCCCTTGTCCGCATCGACGCGGTAGTAGATCACGGACAGCTCCTGCAGGCTCTGGTCGAACAGCTTGTGCCAGTTCTCCGGCTGGAAGGCATTGAAGCGGATGCACTGTGTCTGGGCGGGATCCCCGGCTTCGCTGCCCGACCCCGACCCAGAGCCAGAGCCAGCGGCCGTCTGTCCGTCCAGGCTGTTGTCCGCCTGCGAGTGGATGCCGGACAGGGCCGGCGACACCGAGGCGGAGCAGTGTGAGTGGGCAGGTGTCTTGGCCTCAGCCTCGTGGCTGCTGCTGCTGTTGCTGTGGCTGTGCGGCGTGCTGAGGGAGTGATGGGAGGCGCGCAGGGGACTCATCACCAGGCCTGCATCCAGCTTGGCTGTGGGCGCAAACTCCGGGCAATCCAGCGTCGTGGACATCTTCCGCTTGCGGGACAGCGAGTGCACGGGCGTGGAGGGTGCCGAGGTGCGGTTCAGCGACAGCTGACTGGTCCCAATCACCTGCACCCGGTCGCCGAGGCCCAGCGAGGAGGTCAACGTGCAGGTTGATAGATTCTGGTAGCTGCCAGCACCATAAATGCCAGGCCCAGCACCCGTTTCCGGCCCATTCTCGTAGTGCTGGTAGATCATTTGCTCCTGAACCATTTCGGGCAGTTGTTGCACTTGCAACTGCTGCTGCTGCTGCTGCTGCTGCTGGTGGTGCAGCATCTGCTGCTGCTGCTGCCCGTTGCTGGGCTGCTGGCACATCAGGCTGTTGGGATTCATGATCAGCCCCGCCTCATGCTTGACCCTCACATCCGCCTGTGGCGTGGCAAAGTTATGTCCAACGATGCCCAACTGCGGCAGTGGCTGCTGCTGCTGCTGCTGCTGTTGATGCAACACGTACTGCATGTCTGTCTGCAGCATGCTGCCCGCCTGCGACTGCCCCATTGGTCCCAGACTCGAATAGATGAGATGATCCACTCCGCGCCCCGGAAGCAGCCCCAGGCCGTGTGTCTCATTGAGTGGACTGTAGGCCGGCTCGGAGCCCGAGTCGGGGGGACTCTCCGGCAGATGGCCATGGACGTGGGGCGTGCTGCTCAGGCTCATGGGCGGGGGTGTGTGTGGCGAGTCCATTTTGGTGGCGGCAGCTGCTCCGAGCCCATCATTGCCTCCCTGCTGGGCGCTGCTGTCCTCGAGGCCGCCCACTCCGGCAGTGACCTGCATGAACAGGTCCAAGGCATAGTTGTCGATTCCATCCAAAAGGTCTTGCCGAGCTGCAGGAACGATACAGATTTTGGTTACAATATTGGGAATACTTCACAATAA